TCTGGATTCTGGCAGAAATCCTAATGATAAAAAGGGCCTAGGATTTGAACGAGGTGAATCTTCGAATAATGCTCCTATGTTTGTCAAAGAGGGTATGTTTAAGGCCACAGCAGTTCACAGCTTTGAACAAGAACAGTCATCTCGGTCAGTGCAGAAAAATGACAAGCGAAAGATATATGATCAGACTGCAGATACTGACTTTGTCAAAGTAACTCGTCAATCTCATTATTCAAGGTTCAAAAATAAGTTTGTCAGAGTTAGACAATACACTCCCATTTTCCACTACTATCAAACAAATGGACATACTCGGCCTGAGTGTTATTTTTTCTACAGAGATCAAAGGAAGGAAAAATATCAGAACAAGACTATTACACCGTTCACTAGACAGGTTTGGGTCAGAAAGTCAGAAGTTATATGCTACCCCACTATAGTTCTGATTGCGTCTACGACTAAAGCTAGATGGTATTTCGACAGTGGCTGTTCAAGACATATGACTGGAAATGTAAAGTGTCTCATGGCTGTTCAACAAAGCAATGGATCTGTTACATATGGCGACGGGCAAAAAGGGAAAATAGTTGGGAAAGGTACCCTGAATGTACCAGGTTTACCTCACTTAGAAGAGGTTCTGTTAGTCAGTGGGTTGAAAGCAAATCTGATCAGTATCAGTCAGTTGTGTGATCAAAATTGGAATGTGTGCTTCGATCGTAACTGCTGCAGAGTTAGTGACAAAGCAGATCAACTTGTCATGGAAGGAACCCGATCCTCATACAATTGTTACGTTTTGGCAAACGAAACTGCATGTCACCTATATCTAAATCTGATGAATCAAAACTTTGGCATAGACGATTGGGTCACGTAAACTTCAGAGATATGGATAAGCTGATCAATCTAGAAGTTGTGAGAGAAGTACCTAAGATCATAATAGAACTGGAGAGAGTTTGTGGTGCATGTGCCATTGGGAAACAAATTAGAACTCCGCACAAAGCAGTAAGAGTTATCACTACAGAGAAGTGTCTAGAGCTTGTTCACATAGACCTCATGGGGCCAACGCAGACTGAAAGCATTAGGGGAAAGAAATACATATTTGTGTGTATAGATGATTTCTCTCGATACAGCTGGGTATACTTTCTAAGAGAAAAATCTGAAGCATTCAAGGCCTTTAAAACCTTGTGCATAAGGGTTCAAAAGGAAAAGAATGAGCCTATAATAAAAATTCAGAGACTGAGAAGTGATCATGGAAAAGAATTTGAGAATTCACTATACTCAGATTTCTGCTCCGAGCACGGTATATCACACGAGTTCTCAGCTCCTAGAACTGCTCAACAGAATGGTGTGGTGGAAAGAAAGAATCGAACCTTGCAAGAAATGGCTAGAGTTATGTCACTTGCTTCTAATCTGCCGCAGCGCTTCTGGGCTGAAGCAGTTCACACAGCCTGTCATACAGTGAATAGGGTCTATCTTAGACCAGTAACGACGAAAACACCATATGAGATCTGGAAGGGAAAGAAGCCAAACCTGAAGTATTTTCATGTGTTTGGGACAAAGTGTTATGTGCTGGTTGATAGAGAACGAAGAGGGAAGTTTGAACCTAAGCGTGATGAAAGCATCTTCCTTGGATACTCTCCAAATAGTCGTGCCTACAGAGTCTACAACAAGAACTCAATCTGTAATTGAATCAGTAAATGTTGTTATAGACGACAGTCCAGAAGATTCAGTAGACACAACAGTGACTGATCTAGTGACAAAGCTTCCTCTCAGTGAACTGAATACTGCAGATGGCAACAGTCAGCCCAAATCACAAGAATCCTCAGATGAAGATCAAGAAAGTTCTGAATAGGAGACAACTCTTATAAATGACAGGTAAAGACAAACCCACCAGAACTCAGAAAAATCACCCATCAGATAACATTATTGGTGATCCAACAGATGGGATGAAGACCAGGAGCAGAATAAGAAATAATCTGATAGAAATATCTGGATCTGCTTGCTATACCTTAAAGATAGAACCCATGAATGTAAAAGAAGCTTTACAGGATGATCTGTGGATCAAGGAAATGCAGGAGGAACTACATCAGTTTGATCGAAATCATATTTGGGATCTAGTTTCAAGACCTGATCGTGTCAACATAATTGGAACAAAGTGGATCTTCAAAAATAAAACTGATGAAGCTGGGAATATTGCAAGGAACAAAGCTCGGTTAGTGGCACAAGGATACACTCAGATAGAAGGAATTGACTATGATGAAACGTTTGCTCCTATGGCTAGACTAGAGTCAATCAGAATTCTGTTAGCTGTTGCATGCATTCTGGGATTTACACTGTTTCAGATGGATGTCAAGACAGCGTTTTTGAATGTATACCTGCATGAAGATATCTATGTGGCGCAACCTAAGGGATTTGAAGATCCAGAGCATCCATCACATGTCTACAAGCTCAGAAAAGCTCTCTATGGCCTTGAACAAGCCCCACGGGCATGGTATGAACGCCTAACACAGTATCTGCTACAGCATGGTTATAAACGAGGAAGTGTTGACAAAATATTATTCGTGAAAACCACTGGAAGTCATGTCACCATTGCTCAGATCTACGTGGATGACATTGTGTTTGGATCAACTTTACAGAAATACACAGTTGAGTTAGTAAAAGTTATGAAGGAAGAATTTGAGATGTCCATGGTTGGTCAACTGACGTATTTCCTAGGACTGCATGATTCCAGATCAAAGTCCTGAAGGGTACTTTATCTCACAAGAAAGTACGCTAAGAATTTAGTGAAGAAGTTTGATCTGGAATCATGTAAACCATCCAGGACACCGATCTCCACCTCCACAAAAGTATCCAAAGACGACAGGTGTATCAGTGGATAACACAGTCTACCGAAGCTTGATAGGAAGTCTGCTGTACCTGACGGCTAGTCGACCAGACATAATGTTCAGTATTGGAATATGTGCAAGTTATCAATCTGATCCAAAAGAATCACACCTCATAGCTGCTAAACGAATTCTGAAATATATAAAAGGAACGATTCAATATGGACTATGGTACTCCAAGGACAGTGAACTGAGTCTGATTGCGTACTATGATGCTGACTGGGCAGGAAATATTGATGACCGTAAGAGTACATCTGGTGGATGCTTCTTTGTTGTTAAGAACTTGGTGTCGTGGCTGAGTAAGAAACAGAATTCAATTTCCTTAAGTACTGCAGAGGCAGAATACATAGCTGTTGGTGGATGTTGTACTCAGTTAGTATGGATGAAACAGATGCTATTACACTATGGTTTTACTCAAGGAATTATGACACTCTATTGTGACAATGTCAGTGCTATCAATATTTCAAAGGATCCAGTTCAACACTCCAGAACGAAGCATATTGATATAAGGGATCACTACATTAGAGACTTGGTAGAATCGAAGGAGATTGAGTTGGAATATATTCAAACAGAGAAACAATTGGCTGATATTCTGACTAAGCCCCTAGACGCAAACCGGTTTGAAATTCTTAGATCTGCTCTGGGAATCTGCAGAATTTACTAATAGGGTAGATCGTCACTCAGAAGGAGAGTGCATGGTTTACATATACTGGTAAAATTTCAGTTTTGACTTCCTTTTAAAACACCCTTCATTTTTGTTAAGAGAATATCTTAACCTAAATTACCATAAAAGTGATTAGACTTTTTCAAATGTCAAATATGCCTAGCATCCGTTTCTTTCCTAAAAAGGAGGTATACCGTTGCGTCAATCACATCGGCTCTGCATGTATTCTGACTAGCTGCATTTATTGAGGTTCTTCTCCCTTGGGTTTATAATCGATTACCGAGTCAGGCTTGTGAGAACAAACAAGAGACTATCTCTGCACACCGTCTGTATTCTCTTTGATCTCCTATCTAGGGTTTACTTCTTCATTTTCTTGAATCTCTCACCAATGGCGGATGCAGTTCGTAACATTATTATCAAGCTTGGGAGAAAGGTTCATTCACAAGAAACAACCACCAAACATGTCAAAACCTTGCTCCAGTTGGCTATGAAGAAAAAGTTAAAGCTTGATCCCCTTCTCTGCGATGAAATCATTGTCACAGTGCTGTCCGATTACCCAGAGTTCTATGCCGACTGGTCCGACGATGACACCAGTGAACTCTTGTTGCTGGCCTCCGAAGCAGGTGATGACGTTAATCTGGCATCTATTCCAAAGCCCTCAGATGGAAATCGCGCTAGGGCGTTCCTTCACTACTTTGCTCAAAGAGCCCTTGAGTCAGAAGGAATCTCCTGTCATCGAGCAGTTGCACAACCCCTATCTCTTCAGGCTGCCGAGAATGAAGCCAGACATCGTCTTGAGATTCTGCGTAACAGGTCAAATACTTCTGACTCCCCTATAGAAATTTCGCTTGATAAACCTGAGGATCTAGTGTCTAATGCTGCCCCATCTACTGTGCCTGTTGATTCTGAGAATGTGGCTGCTTTAATTTCTGTGAAATCTTCTGTATCTGTTGATCCCCCTTATTTACCTTCTATGAAGTCTGATTCTTTGAAAAGTGGGCTCTTAATGTGTCTGAGGAGGAAGAAAAATCGTTTGATGAGCCCAATGATCGAAGTTTGGTTGTTTTCTCGGCTGATGATATTGCTCTGTCCTCTGCTGTTATTGCTGATGTCCCACAAGGTATAGGTTCCTCTATTAATCCCTCTAATTTGCCTGCTGAGGTTGAAATTGTTAAGCTCTCAAGCCCTCGTGAGTTCGAGAAAATGGATGGAGTTCCAGAACTATATCGAGTGATATATCAATCTGAGTCCTCAAGTGAAGATGAAAAGATCCTTGCTGAAGTCTATGGTACCCATGCTCATGCATCTACGGCTCCGACGGTTGAGGCTACTGCACATCCTGATTCCTCCACCTTTAAAATTAGAGAGATTACGAATCTCCTTGGAAGTTCATCTGCACATGTTTCTGATTCAAGTCACTCTGTGTCTCCTGTTCAATCCCCATCCAAAGAAACGAGAAGATCCAAAAGGAAGAATGTACCTGTGAAAGTTGTTGTTGAGACTCGTGATGATAATGCTGATGTGGATCAGCCTGAGAAGAGACGGAAGTCTAGTGAGACCATCGAACCTGAAGTCAATCCTCCTATCCAACAAGTGTTCAAGACACTGCGGTCCTCTATTAAACAAAAAGGTTCTACTGCTACTCAGCCTGCTGTTGTTCCCACATCCTTTGCCAGAAAGGGGAAACCATCTACTTGTTCCAGAGGTCGAAGTATAACTCCTGAGGTTCAACCTGTTGAAAGTTCTGACACATCTGTTTACAAGCCCCAGTTTGTATCCCCCACTGCTCAAGGAAAATGGTCCACCATGGTCAAAAGAAACCTTATTGTTCAAAGGTCTGTTGATGAAAACCAGCTGAATTCCGTGTGTGATATCCTACCACTGCTGAGTGAAGTGGGTTTGCTTAAGACTGTCACCTCCATCTGCCCATACTCGAAGCTCCTCACTTCTGAATTCTACTGTAATCTCAATGAAGAGATAGACATTTTGACTGGGCCACGACCAATGCAAATCTTCATTCGAGGGAAATGGTACATCTTTGGGCCTAACATGATCAATGAATATTATGGACTGACAGCAGTGCAAGAAGAAGCTATTACTGATTGGAACTTGGTGGCCAAGACTCTAACAGGTGGACAGATTGATATATGGCCTATCGGTGACAAGGATTATCTGCCTAGCTCTCAGCTCACCTCCAGATATGTCATTCTGCATCGTCTTGCTCTACACAACTGGCTTCCTTCAGCTCACTTTCGTACAGTTGGTAAGCAATTGGCAGGTTTCTTGTTTCGAATTGGAACGAAGAAGGCGATTGATCTGGGTGCCTGGATTTACTCTCATATTCTCACCATGATCCATCCACGAGAGCAGAAGGTAAGGCTACCCTTTCCGAATTTGATTTATGGAATTCTCACAACAAAGGGTCTTGAGCCATTGCCGAGTGAAGTAATTAGTCCAACCCTTCTCTATACTGTTGATCGGCGTCTTTTGATTGGAGATCATATTTGTGATGTTACACCGGTGATTGCCCCCTCTATTTCTGAACCTGATACAGTGGCTGATGATTTGCCACATGCAAGGGATCTTCAACTCTCCATTCAGTTAAAGGCAAGGGTCTCTAAGCTTGAGACAGTTCACGGTATAATTGCTAAACAACTGACAGGGGCCCGTACTGAGCTGGCAATCGTTCTTCTTCGTTTAAGCCTATCTGAATCTGCTGCTGCTGCTGAACCTGCGAAGTCTGACAGTGACACTCCCTACAATGCTTGACCATGCTTTGGCTCTCATTGGCAAAAAGGGGGAGTATGAACTCAGGGGGAGTTGTTTTTGTGTACCTTCTGGCCTTGGCTGGGCGTTGATTGTGATGGCACCACCGTTTATTTGAAGAATGTTCTTTGACTGTTGTTTTGATCCAGCATAACTTGTATGCTGTGCTTTTCTTTCTGCTATGTAATCAGATACTTGGGTTGTTTGTTTTATGATAGCCTATCTTTGTTCTTTCCGTTTATGTGTTTCTACATAGTCGAGTTGTTTTGCCAAATAATAGCCAAAGGGGGAGTTTGTTAGTGTTTTAATTGTTCAAAAACCCCAACTTATAATTAGCAATATTATTATGGCATACTAAGATAGGATTAGCTTAGTGTCAGCTTTGTTCTACAGAGCAGTGATCAATCAGATACAACAACAGAGGGACTGACATTGAAGATATGTTTTAGGAAGCTGTTTACTTAAAAGCTGTACGCGGTTTTATAGAAGACAGATTTGGAAAGAAGATCAGCGTATCTGCTTTGGAAAGGTATGGACCGAATCTTTAAGATTACATTATTCAAATCTTATCCTACCATCTATAATCAAAGATATCTATGGAGAGAGTGTTCTATCTATGGAACTATAAGTATCCTCATTCGACGAGAATTAGGGTGACGCCTTTAGAGAGAATAAACACTCCGTATCAGTTTTATGAGATCGGATCTTTGATTCCTATGCCTCTTCTCAATACAACATGTTCATGGTGATTAAGATGAAGAACTTGAGAAGAACCAATGCTGCTTAAACGAAAGGACACTGTGATCACACTATTGTGGGAACAACTGTAAAGAGCGTCATTGAAGTGGACTGCATCAGAGTTGGCTCTCTAAGTAAAGGGATTTCATTGGACTTCTGTATGCATGCTCTCCACCTTCAACAATCCACTAAACCTGTGTAGACTAGGTACGTACCTTGTGTGGGGCACTTGGGCGAGATTATTGTTTCTCTACCTTTGTACATTGGATTATGATTAAGTGGATTGGACGCATATGTGATCGTCTCCCAGACGTCGATACACACTGTATTGAACTGGGTAAACATTTTGTGTTTTTGCTTTGTGCTGTTATCTCTTCCTTTAAACATCTCTATGATCTGTTGTTACTGACTGACTTCATCGCTGAATCAGTCAGTTCATTTCATCAGTTGATAATCTAGTTAATTTGATTAAAATGAGGAAATGCAAAATTACACTCGGCAACGCAGCTCCGGCGGACGGCCACTCCGGTGGACGGCGATGCGGTGCGTCGGCAGCAGCGGCAGGGGTGGCGTCGACGGGTTGAAGATGGCGACGGGTGGGGGGTGGGTTTCGGTGGTTTCACGGGTAGAGAAAAGAGAAGAGGAAGACTTTGGGAAATTTAGGGATTTTGGGAATGAAATTGGGGAAAAGATGATTTAATTTGGGGATTTGGGTAAAGATGAGGATTTATGATTTAAATGGGATTAAAATTGAGTAAGTTCCAAGGAAGACATTTAGCTCAAGTGGTTTAGAGGTTGGGTTAACAAAGAATAGGCCCGAGTTTGAAATTCAAGGGTTACAATTAAACATTTTGGCTTGGCTTTTAAGCTACACAAGAAAGGATTTTTGATATGGATTTACTAATTTCAACTTTCAAAGAATACTTGGGAAAATTTTAAAGGATTCTCAAAAGGATAGTCACAAGATTGACCAAATATAAGGATGGTAGAATTAACCCAAGCACAACTCCTTCCAAAGATGGATGACTAACTTCACAACGAAACTTATTCGCAAGACTAAGGGAGTCACTTAACAAGAAGAGCTTACACCTAACTCCAAAAGAATCATTACCAAAGAAAAGCATGCCAAGGATTGCCAAGTAACTCAAATAGACAACAACGAAACACAAAGTAACACTCAAGACAACAAAGAACACGATATTTGCGAAAAATAAGGATAGGCTAGGATAGGGTTACCTGCCAACTCCTCCTCCACCAAACCCTCAGACTCTCCCTGCGAACGCCCCATCACGAAGACTCTCCCGGGTGGCCTAGCTCCAACTGCTCCACGACCCGAACTACCTCCCTGGGCTCCTCCGGCTCCCGGGGGTGGTGGCAACGCTCTCTGACCGGCTTGCTGGGGACACTCCGCGACTTTGTGACCACGATCTCCACATCGGAAACACCGAAGCACTTGGCCATGACAATCTTGTCCAGCGTGCACCTTCCCACATCTTCGGCATGGAAGCAACTTAGCTTGATTCCCTTGCTCCATCCGGTTAGGTCCTTGAGACGAGGATGACACGTTCTTGGCTTGAAAACTCGCTCTCAACCCTCTTCCTAGCTAGCTCATAAGATCCTTTCTGCAACTGCTGAACGCGATACAGATCCGCGGCACTCAGATACGCATCCTTAAGGGAACTTGGCGTACTCACCGTCAACGCTTTTCGTGCCTCATAATTCAGACCGGCAACGAATCTCTCAACCTTAGCAAGTTCCGTAGGCACAAACATCCTAGCAAAGCGCGCCAACTCCAAGAACTTCTTGTGGTACTCGACCACAGACAGGGATCCTTGCTGCAGGTGAAGGAACTCATCAAACATGACGGCTCGCACATGCGCTGGGTAGAACCTCTCACGCATCCTATCCTTAAGCGCGGAGCAACCAAACTCAGGCTCTTCAAGATAGGTCGGACCCTCATGGACCCACCACAGATAAGCTTCCTGGCAGAAGTAGAACGTTGCCAGTTCTACCCTTCTCTCATCGGGACAACCTACAACCGCGAAATTCTTGTCGAACACCCTCATCCATTCTTCCAAAACCACTGGGTCTTCCTCACCCGCGAAGGTTGGCGGCCTATGTCCCGACACCAAGCGACCCATATCGCGGTGCCCAGCAGGTTGAGGAGGCGGCACAGCGTGGTTGTTGTTCATCAAGGCTTCACTGAGCGTCTGCATCGTCTGCGTCAGCTGGTGGAGATTCTGACCGAGCTGCTCGTTTGTCGCGGTCTCCGGGGTGCAAGCTCGGGGACGAGGAGGCATCGCAAACTTCTACAACAACAACACGGTTACCAAAAGATAACAAACAAGCAAAGAACAGAAAGCAACACTTATCTCACCGCGCAACCTAGAGTCCTAAGCCCAACACTTAGATTCTTAAGGTCGCTTAAAGGTCTCAAACCACACTTAGCCACTTAGAAAGTCTAGAATTAACTCCTTCCTAGGCTCAAACCTAGGCTCTGATACCAACTGTAACACCCCCTAAAAACAAGCTATTTAAAAGCCTTAAACATGTAGATAACACAACTAAACAACAAACACAGCGGAAGACTAAAAGATAACTGAATAAATATAAATCCAAGTCATAGGGTGTTATGCCACGTTCACCAACAAGGATGAACGCTACGGCGATATCTGCATTGTTTACAACTATCCAAAGTCTCAAAAGTCTACAACTAAAGCGACACACAGGCCATAAAACAAACGAGAGAAGCTATGCTAACAGGCACTAGACTGCGCACTCGCCTAGACATCACCTGAAAGAACACAATAAAACATGGGACGACGCCCGGTCAGCGAATAAAGCTGGTAACCCACCAATACATGTGAAATATCATACATAGATAAGATATAAGTTGTAAAGCCATTTTCGAAACGGAATACATAAGTATATAAGTATAAAACCAAGAGCAATAGTCAACACAAGACTCAACACTCTCTCGATCAAGGATACGGGAACACATCCCAAACCACAAAGGATAACCACAACACAAAGGATAAAGACAAGACCAATGACAACACATGCCTTGTGACTACACACGTCACAAGAAAGAGAACTCATAACCACGGCTACACAAGCCCTCGTGACATCACCCATCACGAGTTGATATGCCTTCCTTATGCCCGGTTCCAACCTTATGGCTACCCCCAACCTTGTATCTTCTTCCAACCATTACCTCTAGGACCCCTGTACTTCTTAGTCCAACCATTTCCCTCCTGGGACCGTCTTCTCCCACCAACAAACCACCAACAAGACCACCAATTTCATAGTACACGAGGGTACCGTACACACACACGGCAACACATGCCACCCAAGAATCACGTGAACCTTACACAAAGGCCACAATTCCATAATCACGTCACGGCCACCACGAGGACCGCTGCAATACCTTGGTGACTAGTGTCCCATACCACTAATCGTGCAATCCAGGTAAAGCCACACACACGTCACACCATAATAGGAATCAATCAACGGATCACAACGAAGATATGAAACCATACTCAATCAAGGAATGGGTCACAGCCCAACAACAACAACGATGAATAACACAAGTTATCATCAACTAATAGGAAGGTACAAACAACACACACGCTAGCATTTAAACACCGAACTAGCATACTTATCAAACGGGTAAACCAAACGTAGTTCCGGAGAACACACAAGACTCATCATGGTTCAACGAAACACAATGTTGAACACTTAGCACGATTCACGACACCAAAACCTACATGGAATCCTACCATATAGTTCTAGACATACGAAACATCAAGAAGACACTCAAATAGTTCCACAAACAAACATCGGGAAGTCAAAAGACCAAATACCGAGTCAAAAGAATCACGGGGAACAAATCCCCCAACATCCAACATTGTGTACCCGCGGGTACAGGCTTCTTTACAACACGTACCCCGCGGGTGGGCGACGGGTGGGCCTCCTACCCGTCGTTCCGCCCGCGGGTACAACCTGTACCACAAAACAACACTTCACGGATTTTTCATCTCCAACTCAAATTCAAGCCCAAAACATGCCAAATCTCACCAAATACAACAAAATGACTTGAATCAAAGGAAATTCCAAGCAATGGCACAAATGAACCCTAAACACAAACTCTCGATATGCATTTTCACAAGATCATGCATCAACACTCACATTTCATAGCAAAACACATGTAGAATCTAAGAAATCACATATAGGTAAGCAAAATAGGTTTTGTAGAGCATGGGTTACCTCTTGTAGACTAAAGACTTCACTTTACACCTCAACAAGCTCCTCACTAGGCTCACTTTCCAAACCCACTTCAAGAACAAACCAAAAGATCATAAAGATCCTATCTTTAAGAAAAGACACCTTGGATAAAACCAAAAACACAAGATGAACTTAGATCTTACCCTCCTAGATGCCCAAATATAAGAAAGGTTGAATCTTGGAAGCAACTCTTGAAGTTTTGGCAAGGTTCCAACTTGGCTTGGAAGAAAAGCTACTCACCTTTTAGAGAGAGGGTGGAGCTAGATTTTTAGAAAAGTGTAAGGAGAGAATGAAAGTGGTCTTACTAGGTTAGGTTACATTGCCAACAACAAGTGAAAGGTCAAGAATACCCTTACTAACATAAGGAAGTGTAAG